TTGACCTCATATAGTGGGGAGCTAACGAAAAGAGGTTACAATACACTAATTCCATAAAAATATGTTAAATATATGACATTTGTTTTTGAGGAACACTGACAACCTTAAATTTTTTATGGATGGGGTTTGGACCTAGTGACAGCAATGGGAATGTTGAATATTTGATTCTAGATTCTTTGATCGTTATAAACTCATATAAGAGTATCCTTAGGTGGTAACCAATTTATGTTTGATTCTGATCTTGATCCCATTAATCACATAGGTCAACTTTTACATAAACTTTCATTTCAGATGAAACAGACATGACAGAAAAATTCTGTACCATTTAAATGTTAAGACCACTTGGAAGACTTTTATTGATATTTTAATTTTGAAGCAAGTTATAATCATTTTAAAACTGACAACAAATTTGTGATTGGCTGCAGTAGTCAGTAGCGAGACTGCATGTGCACAAGCCGCAATGCTTTTGTGATTTTTCCAAACTTCCTTGGAATTGAGCATAGTATATTGGATGGCGCAGTGTTCTCTACACGTAGTACAAATTAGTTTCAATTAACCTACTATTAGATATTTATAGGTAAGCATCATCTCATTATTCTATATCTTATACAGTTTTGAACTGTTTAGCTACATTTGAGGTGTATGTGTTGTTACTTTTATGTTTAATAATTGGCCATTTCACTATAATATTAAAACTAACAGAAAATTGGTTCTGCAGGACAACAATTTGATATTTTGTAAGTATCTTCTTAAGATTTATTGATAATGAAATAGATGCTGGGAAGCAAATTAACTTTATATTTATCAAGAAGTATTCAAAATAATATTAGCTCATCAATGATCAAACATTTTTAAGGAAAAATTAACGAAGGAACAAGTATTTCTGCAACCAGCATAAAAATATGTATTTATACATTACCTCCAGCATGCATTAACTCTGAAGGAATACCAATGGCACCAAATAAAACAGTAGGATCGTGTGTATGCCATCCTCTAAATCCAGGTCCTGCATGTTGTGCTGAACGACTAGTAGTATTAGTTGTTGTAGATGATGATGATCCAGATGTAGTTGTTGACAAACGAGGAACTTTCTGCACAAGATGCATAACTTTTCCATCAATACCTATTGAAAAAATGTTTTATGTTATATTCATATTTTTATTCAAATAAATACATATTCACATCCGCGCAAGTATCATTGTACAACCTTGTTAAGTGACTTAATTCTGGAGTGATAAAATAATTTTTAATATAAAATGTTTATTTTACAAGCAAATATTATCTGGCTTCTTTAAATAATAATGAGTTGTATCCAATAATTGATAGATATTTTATCTATTTTTCAATATCAATTAAATTTCAAAACAGAAAATAGAAACACACTCTAAAATTGTATCAAAATATTGGTTGATATTTGGAATAGGAGAGAATGTGTAATTCTGTTTAAGTATTATTAATTTAAGGTAGATTAGTTATATTAAAAGGAACTGAGCAGAATAACATATAAATGGAACACAATTAATATAAACTAATTTAGGTACTTCCGAAGTTAAATGCATGTAAACAAGTGTTAATTCAGTTTAATATAAATCTGGCAAACTTGAAATGGTTTAGTTAATTTCCGATAAGAATACAAAATGTATTTAAATATCAAACAGAAAACGCTATTAAAACCGAATGCGATTTGGGAAAAGGAATAGTTGAAGTAAACCGATTTGACAACTGTGCATGTAAACTAGTTTAGTGGAAGCATATTAAATGAATATGGTTTAGTCGAGTATGTGTATTGTGAACCTTACTTAGCATTGATTCAATATGAATCAAGCTAATTTAAATTAATAGAAGCGTGTAACCATGGTTCTAAGTTACCTACTATTGTTCAAAACATTGATAGTGTTCTTGTAATTAATTTCATGGAAGTTTTTAATTTTAAAGTAAATTTACTAAAAAAATGAATTTACAAAAAAAATTCTGATTTATGAAAAACGTAAAAATGTATTGCAAGATATGTTATATAAAAATAAGCTTGATTTTACCAGAATTAAATACTTCAGCTTGAAAATATGTATTACCTTTCACATTTTATTGATTTATACATTTAAAGCTATAACTTCTAAAATAACAGTTTAAGGTAAACAGTTTGTACACAATGATTTTAAGCATAAAAAACTAAGTTGTTAAAAACAAATATTGAAAATCATGAGGGGCTATCTAAAGTGCATTTTAGCTGTCACCTAAGTATTTTATAATCATAACTCAATAAGACTACTAGGTAGCAAGATCTATTATCAAAAACGGATGGCTTTCTTACCAATATCAGCAAGTTTGGTTTCATTACTCAAGACACGACCACAAAATATCAATCGTTGTTGGACAACTGCGACGTTTACTTGTGCCGCAATAAACTCTTTGAGCTCCAATATGGTAAACTAGTAATAATAATAAATAGGTACAATAAAATATATAACATCAATAATGTATGAGAAATGACATAGTGACTTACAGTGTCCGGAACGCGAAATTTGTGATTCTGTGAATCCAACGTCTTTATTGTCAGATCAATCATTTTGGCGTTCGACGTCGTACTGCTTTCGGTTGTCCTGAAATGCGCAAAGTTTTAAAAAACCACTATTTGTGGCAAAAACGTAGACAAGAAGATGCTATCACAAGTAAATAAAATAACCCCATAGAGCACAGACTACAGTCAGTAATTTATTGTAAGGCGCACGGCGTAATCACCTAGATAGTAATAATATGTTTCGAAGGTGTTTAATCAATACGATGATAATGCGCCTGCACAATGAAATAGGCTAGGGAACACAGATTATTTTGTATCGGCTGTGCGGCGGACAATGATTCTGCGTTATTATCGTTGTTTGATCATGGTTCTGCGGACGTTCAGCGACACTTACGGTTTGAAGATGCCGAACATTCGAGAAATGAATTCATACGGACTCGACAACGGATCGAAAAAAGGCGAAGCAGAACAGACCGTCGTAGATTTGAAGTGAGAGTGTGAGCACTGTGAGCAGTGTGGTGATCTGGGAAGTGGGGGAGAGAAAATAAAAAAGAGAATACGGAATGACGAACATCCGTGATAAACCATGGAGTAACAACGAACGGCGCCATCGGAGAGAAACACTGTTGCCAACGATCGAGGAAATGGACATTAGCGGAATGTGACGCCGTGCTATTGGTAGTTGGTACATAATATTATATTATAATATTGTGTATACTGTATAGACCACTTAGGTATAAAGTATTAATTTTCTGTAAGACGACTAATAACCTATTGAAGTATTGAATCTGAAGCCAATATTAAAATAATATTATTGTTCTACGATAATAGGTATATTAATAAAATATTGTGTAGATGTAGAATGTGATTACTGTATAGTTGACGACCGTTTTTATTTTTTTACTTAGCTTCGCGCCGCTACCGTTGAATTGAGAGACCGAGTCTAGGATTCAATAATCAATAATTATGTACTATCGATATTATTCTATCAATACAATATTAATAACAGTTATAGCACAGAATACAAATTAATAGTTAAGTAAGACTCATTAATATTACTGTTTATAGTATGAACCACGGCTATAGATAATCTTTAATCGTGGTATGAACTATGTCTAGTCATCAATCATCTTTGATATTAAACTTATACATACGACATTGTACAACCATCAGTCATCAACTAGGAAGTTGATATAAATATAAAATACTCCACAATCAACATCTTTACAACAGCAAGTTATCTCTTGTTTAAATGTTAGTTTGCATCACTCAGGAGTTTTCTGTACCAGTGAGGACATTCGTTTTTCTATCAGTTACGTTGGTCTAAAAGTGTGAAGGTAGGAATGCGTAAAGATACACCATACGTTTAATATCAATGATATACTATTAATAATAGTAATATTGATGATTTAGACTAAATATATTATGTTTTATTGACATATATTTTTGTATTACTTACGAATTCTCTTCCGACTGACCCGAAGGGCTTGAATAACATTTAGCCATTTTGTTATAAAATTACAGTACCTATTGTAATTTTGTTTTGCAAATTAAAATTTAAAATATAATCACTCACAGCGAAAACGCCATGATACGCATAAACATTAAACAAGGGTCAAAGAGTAACTAGTAAGTCGTAACTTCACTGTTATAGTAGTCTGTTACTAAATGCTGAGGTACTAGCAATAAGGTCAAAAGGATCACGAATCACGATTAAAGATATACAAGAACAGGTTGCACATCGGGATATGATAAGGAGACTAGTTCGAGGCACACCAAGCCGGTACACAGAAATTATATGAAAATTATTTTACCATCGTAAGATTTTAGATTATTTTCAAAATATAATTATGACCAAAACAATAAACAACGGACCAAACGGAGTTCTCGACTTTTCGAGTAAATAGTAAATATTTCAAGTGATCGCCGTGAGCTAAAATGTATTCCAGTGTAGCCATAATGTATGAATAAACCATATGCCAATATTATTGTACTGTTGTTTGAGTTGCACTTTGAAATTCGATTTAACTTCGATTTGTACCTATCGGCTATCAATACAAACCCAAACCAGTATTATTTAATCAATGATATTTGATGGTACCTAATAATTTGCATTCATGACGATATACTATTTCAAGATCATGACGTCTAAAATACTATATGTACCTTATATAATACATTATACTGGAGAGCTTATAGGTTCTCTACTTTATACCAATTGGCTATTAGATGGCCAGATGCCCTAACAATAAAATATTACATAATTTACTAATAGTTTGAAGATTTAAATATAATTATTTCAGTCCTAACGAGTTAGATTATTAAGCTGCATTAATGTTTTATGCTCAAGTTGTAACTTAGAAATAAAAATTATGCTCAAATTTACAAAAAATAGTTTAATAAACAGAGCATTCATGAGTGGGCGACCACGTGAGACACCGTATGGCATTTTGGCATTTGGTTAGTTTTTTTTATTTTTTTATTTTAAAAACAACAATATATTTACAATCTGTATACATTTGATACAATAAGTAAATTTTTTAACATTATTTACAAGGCATGTGGGCGTGATAGAATGGGGCATCTAATGACACTACTTCAATAATAAATTTTGATTTTTGATTTTGATTAGCAAGTTTTTGTGCTGATTACAAAAGTATCGGCGACCGCCGACTAGTTACGTTTAAGGCGTCGAGGAGGATTGTTGGGAATGGTGGCAGAGGAAAGATTATAAATTAGGGGGTTAGGGTGATTGTGAGTGTGCGCCTGGAAATTCGAATAATATAAACGGGCGAGAGTAGGAATGGTGCATATTTTTAGGTCATTATGTAAGGAAAGATTACTAACATACCACGGAGTTTGGTTAGTTACAGCTATTAAAAATTTACAATTTTTTTAACTTTTTTTATTTAAATTATAAACATTTTCTAAAATATAAGTATTTACCAATAATACGTTACATAGGTACATTTCAAACAAAAGAGAATCTTAGTTTAGACGTAAACTGTAACATAGCAAGCAGCGCACATAAAATAATTTCCGATCTGACAAAACTGATTTGGTTGAATGGATGTTAATTCTGAAAATAGATTTTGATTCAGAATATTTAGTTGGAGGTGGATTCATATCAATCCTCCTTGATTTGGTTGCTATGTTTTAATTTAAATAATTAATTACTAGTCCAAAAAATGATTTGTGTTTATTTAACTATAATAACATATTTTTAATTCAATGTTTTGGTCCATCGAATTTCAGTTGAAAATAAAATACATCAAAAGTTGCTTCGATTAAGACATAGTTCATTGTTAATGATTCAAATTCTGTTTTCAAAATAACCTACAATAATTCGTCTAACCAAAATGCTATACAGTTTGTAAGGCTAAAATATTAAATACAATACAAGGTTTTTGTATATCATGTTATGAATGCAGCAGTTGTGACTTGCGGATTTAAATTTACTTACGAAGGGGGGGGGGGCATACAATTTTTTATGTACACAATATTATATGATGTATGTATACCATAGGGCATAGGTCCATCGAGTCTTACTCTATGATGTATATATTATATTATTAAAGATTTTAGATTTTTTTTATAAAACAAAATTTAATTTTTTGACGAGCTTTCCATTTTTATACAAGCCCACTGAGTGAAATGGGTGAATAATATGGTCCCTATAATATACCAAACATGTAATTTTTATTAAGGGCCAATAGTAATTTACAGCATTAGATATTAGTAGTTAAATAATAATATTTTTCAAAAATACTCAAAAAGCTTACTTGAAGGAGTTTTGTATAGGCAATTTATCCAAGTTTCTGTAAAAGCATCACCGCACTGAGGCTAACTGTTCGAATATTTAAACTTTTTAAGTATTTGTTAAATACTTAAATATTTCTTTTAATTATTTAAAATTTATAAACTGTAATAGGTACATTCTATATTGTAGTGTTAAAAATTAAAATTTTGATATATTACAACTTTAGTTATTGAAAAAAGAAAAACACAATAAATGTGGTCCCGTAATTTCGTATTGGTAACAATACATAATGTTATATTATTATCTTATCATCTTGTTTTGTGATAATATGTAACAGCATGAATGATAAAACTGCTGACAATAATGACAAGACTCGTGATGATAAACCTTGAACGATGAGTAGATTGTAGTTTTCGTTCATGACTCATGACACAGCCGGACGGCCCGTGCGCATAGGCTGTAAAGCATACTTTAAACCTTGTACTGGTAGTAAAATAGTTTTATTGAATGGAAATAATCAAAGACAAAACAATGTCGTTGGTCATTAATATTTTGCTTTCTCTCTAATAGTGTTTTAATCCGATATTGTTCCGTATCCATTATATTTATAATCGATGGAGGTGAATGATTACTACCATACTAATAAAAGTAGCACGGACGAAGAAGAATCATTACTAAAACGTTTAATTGCTCTGAAAAGTACGTATTTAACATTGGTTTTTTACATAGAAATTTTGTATTTATTTTAAATGTATTATCTGTGATTATCTTTAGTTGTACTTATTAGATATATGTATTAGATCAAGTACTTAACAATGTTTTGTAAAATAAAATATAGTACATTCAATCATTGTTACATTTGGATAGACATTAAATAATTCAGAAATTGCACTTTTATATCATTCAAATTGTCTTAAACTATGACAGAATATATGTGATGAAATACCCATTTACTTTCAAATCTTTCTTGTGAAGTAGGTAGCTAATGTCTTAGAATTGGTCAAGCCGTCAAGGACAATAATATTATGGCCAATTATCAAAGAGTGCTTTGCACGCGTTTAATGATAAACAAACTCTATTATTAGGTATTTCCATTTTTTTTGCTCCAGACAATATTGTTAAAATATAATATAAGTCATAACTATCAATAATTAGATTTTATAACAATTTAATTTTCCAGTAAAATTACAAAGCTAAATTGAATTAATATTATTACCTATCTAATTTGTTGAAAATATAAAATTTCCTAATACTTACTTGAGAAAAAAATAGTCATCATATGCAATGACATATTATCGTTGTAAGTCCAATAGTTCATATTATGGAATAACACTATGGTTATCATATGCCCCATATATTAGTTATCATCTTAATACTTTTATGATTTACTTGTATTTTATTTCACTATGTATTGACACAATAAAACATAGAAGACCTACATAATCAGTGCCGTATTTCGCAGTAAACACTATAAGCTAGTGCTTAGGGCGTCAAATAATTTTTAATATTACATTTTTACTATATGTAACTATAGAACTAATTATAAAATGTTTTTAGACCAACGGGATTGTGGTAATATTTATATTTTATGTTTTCCAATTTCATAATCGTAGAGATGTATATTTTTAGTTTTCATCATTAAAATTTTAAGCCATAAAGGAAAAACTATAATTGTATTGCTTTAATAACATTTTTTAGATTAGAAAAATATTTATATTAAAAGGCGGCAAATTATTTAGTGCTTAAAGCGGCACAACGGTTAAATCCGGCACTGTACATAATATTTTTAAAAATCTAATTTTAGATTTTGAGTGAATGTATTGATTTTAAAATGATGCGTTTTTTTATTTGTGTCCGTCATCAACACTTGGGACAGACTATTTTCTGGTAGGAAAGTGAAGCTAGTTGGTGCATTCAAGGGTTCAAAATAAAAATTCCTACTAGTCTTCAAATAGGAAAAACAAGAATTTTTATTTAAAATCGGTTTTTAACAAAAAAGATTTTAGTTTTAAGTGTAACTTTGTAAAAAAAATTCACTTATTCACTCAATTTCTCATGGAACAATTTACTTATTTTTCGTAATTTAAAAAAAAATACCCTTAGATACTTAAAATTTAAAAGTTTATTTTAATTTTCTAACCTAACTTTGTTTTGAGCTTTTTACATGCATTTGAAATTAAAAATTTTTTTTCTATAAATGTCAATAAAATTGTATTCGTTGGGTCAAAAAGCCTGAAAATGTAGTAGTTTTAATAGTCTTATAGTAAAAAAAAAAAATATTTTAAAATTACATAGGCATGATTTTTTTATAAGCATTTAAAACTCAAATGTTGACAAAGTGTATCAAATTGAAAATGAGTAAATTATTTCGTAGTTAAAAATGTTCTTAGCTAAGAATTTAAAATTAAAAAATTTGTTTAATTGAAGTATCATGTTTTTGTTTATTTAGAGCAACTAGATGATGATGAAAATAATGATAAACCAAAATTACAACGAAGCCCGAATAATATCAAAGAAAATATTATTACTAAGAAGAATATTAAATCATTATCAAAATTTAAGTATTGCAAGGATAATAATCATACTGATAGTAAATTTCTTTCTACCAAAATAGATAATCGTAATTTGACTAACCGTCAAAATAAAATTAAACTAAATAGTTTATTTGTTACGACTAATAATCCATCTTCCAAGTTGTATACCAAACAAAATGTGTTATATTCGAGTCCAGTCAAAACTGTTATTTGCAAAAAAAATCCTGAAATATTAAATAACAGTCAAAATATCATAAAGTTTGATTCAGAAATTAATGATATTGTGAAAAACAGCTTTGTTAATAATTGTAAACTACCATTAAATGACAGTTGTTATGAAGTTTCAGATGTTTCACAAATATTGCGTAATGTTGATGAATATATGTTTAATGTTCAAGATTATTTAACTTCATCAAAATACGTCGTTGATAAAGAAGCAGACTCTTCATCAACTAAAAAAACTAATCAATCAAAAAATGTTCATGTCAATAGGAATTTTCAAAATCAGTTAATCTCTACTAATATGTTAAATTCAAACTTAAAAAATGTGACGAATTCCTTAGTATCTATTAATAAGTCAACAAGTATAAATAAAAAAAAAATAGTAAAAAAGTTGTCTGGAAAAATAATTGGATCACCTAATCTTGTAAAGATAGGTAACACAAAATTAATACGTCAATCATTATTTAGAAATAAATGGAAAATCAACAATAAACTGAATCGCATCGAAAATAATACAACTGCTCGTAAACCACTCTCAACTTTACAGTATCCAGTATCAAATGCATTAGTACCGTCTTACAAAAAAACAGAATGGAATAAAGTTACTAATACAACATCTGTACTTAAATCAAAATTATCCAACTCTAGTAATACTAATAAGTTAAAATGGACAAGACCCAGTATTTTATTGGTTAATAATGTAAACAACAATACCTACTCTCCTGTACCAAAAGCTGATAAATTAATTTTATTTGGCAAGAATAAAATAATTAGACAATCATTAATAAATCCAATTCAGTCAAAAACAAAATCTTATATGCTCAAACATCTCTCGCATAGATTTGCTTTAATGAGAAAATTACAGCAAAAAAACATTGCTGCTAAAATAAAAACTGTTACAAGCAGTGAACAAGTTAAAAATATATTAATGAAAAATACTGTAATTAAGCCAGTTGAAATTAAAAGAAATGGCAAGAGGTCATATTCCATGTATTCATACGTGAATCCAATATTGAGGTAAGTTTTTTTAAATAAAATTCAATGCATTTTGATAATGATGAATTATTTATTTTTTAGGTCAAAGACAAATAATATTAAGTTCGATAAAACTGGATCCTCAAATAATAAAATACCACGTATACTTAATATTTCTGATAATAAACCTCAACAAAATTTGAAAATTATGAATAATGATAAAAATAAAATTCAAAATTTAAGTTTAACAAACAATAAAACACTTCAACGACTCAGGTTCATTAAATTTTATTACGATTAAATTAAATAAATAATTTTTACAAAAAAACATTATTTTCCAGAAGTAAAAAAACACTCACCAAACAGCTTTGTCTAGTATTTAATCGCTTTGGCATTTGTTCAAAATCGGATCAAGGAGAATGTGATAAACGTCATTACAAAAAATATATCACATTGTGCACAAAGTTGGCTAATTTTAATTCAAATGTATTTCTCACTTAAATTTTTGCTTTAACATTTTTTTTTAGGTTTTTAACGGGAGAATGTTCTAAGGAAAACTGTACATTATCACATAATATTGTTGAAGAAAAAATTCCATTTTGTAAGCATTATTTAAATAGTGTTTGTGTTCAATTAAATTGTCCATTCTTACACGAATATAGAAGTAAAAACACTCCTATTTGTAAAAATTTTCTCCATGGTTCCTGTAATCGGGGGAAAAAAGTAAGTTAACTTTCAATTTTATTTTATTAAATATTTAAATTTTTATTTTTATTTTAAAACATGTGGTTTGGCGGAAATATTCATAGTTATTTTTTTTCACCATAATTCAAGTGTCCTAAAAAGCACTTAGATTTATGTCCAATTTTTGAAACAAAGAATGAGTGTCCACATGGTCAAAAATGTCTATACCCGCATTTTCAATTTGAAGATAAAAGTACCGTTGTAGTTGAAATCAATGAACCCAGATACTTTGAAATAACAATACCCAATAATGACGAATCAAATGAAAATGAGTCCATTCACATTGTACCCAAACGGCGTGCACCTTTATTGGATTTACCATCTTATATACCTTTGAAAAAACAGTAAGTATTTGAAATGTATTTGAGTACATACATATTCACCTTAATATGCATTAAATACATTTAGTAAATAAATAATTGAATGACTATAGAGTATAGGGATGATATTTCTACCATATTTATTTTCAAAGACTAGAAAATGAAACTGCTTAAATTTGTTTGCTAGAAATAATTAAATAATTAAATTAGATATTTCATAAAATCTATGAAACATAATAGTTTATTTGACAGTTATCTAGATAGTATGTTTAATAGTTTGACTGTTGTCATTTAGTTTAGCTTCCAATATATTATTTGAATAATAGTTATTAAAAATAACAAAATTAGAACATTATTTTAATGCTATAAATACAAAGCAGAATAATTATACTTGTTCATTAATAATTAAACCAATATATAACACATAGAAACAAATTAATTTTAATATTGTTAAGTATCTAAATATAGTAAATACATAATTACATATCTTAATGCATAACAGCTTACATTTTTTATTTAAAAAAAAAATTTTACTCTTACTTATAAATTACAGTTTAAAGTTAATTCATTATTGAAAAAAAAATTCTTATGTAATCAAAAATCAAATTATTTATATTACTGTGAAATCTCATAATATTCATGTTTAACTTGAATTCTGGGAAATCATGAAGTACAATTATATTTTTACTATTATATATTATTTATAAACAATATATATCTATGATTTTGTTAATGATCATACTTTGATTGAGTTATAAAATTTGTAATCATAATTTTGGCTATGAATTATATTATTTTGTTTCAGATAAGTTTCTACAATAGTGTAGATTTACTTTTAGGGTAATGTTCAATATCAACAAATCTGGTATGTAATACGTTATTATTTTTAATTTGTACATGTGTATGCTACTACATGATCAAATATCCAATTAAAATAATTATTGGTAAACATGTTTTTATACATACATATATAATAGAAGACTGGTATGTTTGTATCATAAAATGTTTGTTATTTTATTTTAAGAGAAAAATTTAAAAATTACTGAAAAAAATATTTTTCTTATGAAATATATTTTTATTGTATTTGTATTTCGTTTTTTTTAGTTTTCATAATAATTGTTAAAGTTGGTACTTACTATTATTTATCTTGTTGAATATGACAATATTTAATATATAATTGAATTGAATTCCTTAAGTTATATGTACAATTAATTTAATAACTAAAAATTTTTCTTTTATATCCGTAGATATCACATTTAATGTATTTTTTATTACATTGAATAATTCATGAAAATTTTTTGTTTTCAGAGGTTTTGCATTAAGATGTAACATTTTAATGTTAAAATTTTGCATAAAATTAAAGTTCAAATTATATAATGATGTTCAAAATTATGAAAATTAATCTACAGTTAGTTGACGAAAACTGCCAACCATGTGATGGTGACTGTGGTTTGTCAACGCTGATACTCGCCCCTGTCTTGCACCCTCACTAAACATATCCTCTCTTACTGACATTTTTTCATTTTTGAGTATTTGTTCTCGTTTTTCTAACAGTTCTTGTTTCCATAAATCTATCATTATTGTTTAAATAAATAAAATGTTGATGACAAAATTATGTGTTTAAAAATAAACTTACCTATCATTTTCGACATTTCCATTTCTCCACCATATTCTTTAGGCAATAATGACTTATCAACATATGTGTGGCTCTCCTCTATTGAACTAAATATCTGGAAAACGATTTGCAAGAGTTAAATCTAGTAATTATTCTTTGATATTATATAAAATAGTTTGTTACTTTTACACGACTTCTTATTTTTTCAGATACTAATGTCATTCCAAAATCCAACGCAAATTTCAAACTTAATGGTACATTTACTCCATATATTTCTTTGTGTCGCATTGGAAGTGTTCGCTAGAAAATATAAATAAAAAAAAATATTTATTTTTATAAAATAACATTTTTTATTATTATTATTTTAGGTATAGTCTTTATTTAACAATATTATAGTTAGAAAAAATTATATTAAGTATTTACAAGAAGATAATTTTTAAACCAATAAGGAGAGGAAGAGTAAAGACTGACAGATTAAGAAAAATTATATTATATCTAGTATCAGTGTTGGAAACTAGCCAAATATGTGACGTTATCAATTTAAAAGTGTATACTTTTTTTATATAATTATATTATGTAATTTAAGTATATAAATAAATTATATAATTTTAATTTTAAAATATTGTGCTTTTTTAAAAAAAAAATAAAGTACCTCTCCATTTTTAACAATTCTGACAGCTTCTCTTGGTGTAAATAATGTTAGTTGTTGTAAGCACATACCAGCTGCATCAGTATAATGTACAAACCCACGGATTTGGTTTTCCTGGTCTTCCATCAGTGTTTCATACGTAACACCGTGCATTCTACACATTTCTGCATTGGTCCATATTGACGGGTTGAAAACTCCTTAAAATGTTTTAAATGTTGGTAACTAAGAAACTTAACTAAATCAAATAACTTAGAAATATTATATTGGTAGGTCCATTTTGATAAAATGTATAGGTTACAGCCAATCTTGTGAAATATTTCAATATTTTAAATATATATATTTTTTTTAATATTCGAGTATGTATTCTGAATAAGTTTTTTTAGTGTTTTTAATCTATATGTTAATATTTTTTCAGAAGATTGACTTTAATTTATATAAGGTAAATAGACCCCTAACTATTATAGTTAATTATTGTGTATTTATGAAGAAGTTGGGTAGGGGGCCATGGATATGCATTATATAATGTATATTTACTTGACCTGGAGCCCCACATATATTTAATGTCTAGACGCGTATACATATCTGTTAATTATCATCCAAGGTCACTGTATTTATAGGCGGTAGTGCCTCGAAGAAAGTACAAAAAAACCACCTAACAGCAGCACCATAATATGCGTGGCCTCACTATCTCGGTAACTTGTATATTATATTATATGTTTTTACAATAACTACAATAATAATCACTTAGTTATTAATTAATCATGTATCTAAATAGTATTTCAAAGCGCTGTAGAGTGAAACTTGGTGGCCTAGGGTTTATATAAATTATGAGTGATGAAGTCCCCCTTAAACACATAAATTAGATTATTAACTAGTGATGCTGGAAATAGTAGGTATCTAATACAAGGAGGCAAAAGCTGATAAAACATTAAAGTAATAATAGTATTATTATTTTACTACTAACAAACCAATTTTTTTTAAAGTGGGTTACTCTTTGCCCTTTGGTGCTAGGTCTAGGTATCTAGAGTCACTGTAACAATGGATGTGTAAAATTTGAATTTTTGAACGTTAATTTAAGAGTGAATATCCCATGTTTAACTTCAAACGCTAGAAAAAAATTAATTTGACTTTCCAGTAAATTTTTTTTTTTTTGTTTAATGTAGAAAAACTTGGGGAGATTCTTGAACTCGTTTTCCAAAGCTTAGATACAAATAGATAATTTTAAATGAATTTCTAACTCAAAATATTAAGGTAGAAAATGTTCGTGATTTTTACGAATTTTGTCAACATTCTAATTTCAGACGATCATACAAAATTATTGTGAATTTAATCTTAATTTTTTTTATTTTCCACTAACAGCAACTTATGAAGAACCTTGTACTACATTTTCAAGTTTATTGACCGAGCAAAAGTTTGTTTATTTACATTACTTTAAAAAAACAGGAAAAAGAACTAATAATAAAAAATTGTAAATGTCTATAAATAGCTCAATGAGGCAAAATATTTTGAAAATTGTGTATTATATAGAAAATTATAATATAAACATTTCATGTATCTAGATTCTAGAGAGTTACTCCAAAAACCAAAATCTATTTTGCCAAAAACTGAATTTACATGAAAATTCCCGTTCATCTTTATTATGCCCCTGAAAACAACTGGGAATTTTAATTTGACTTCCCGAATGCGTCTACTAGATTCACTTTTCCATTGAAAAAGATACTGAAGTTGAAAATCGAAGCTTTATTTTAACTTCTTATCGTGTACACAAACACAAATAAAAACAAACATCACAATACATTCTTCATTGCTCCGCTCAGAATCTAAACACATTATATACTTAAAAATGAACTTTTCATCGTTTGATTATAAAAAAAATTAAATTCTGGGTGTCTTTGGGGATTACCCAAAATATTTTCTATAGCTCTACCGAATACATATGTACCTATTAGACATGAAAAGTCACGAAAAATGTTTTCTCTGATGAGGGTTATAAAAACGAATATAGGCTGTAGCCTAACTCCTTGACTGCAGTTTCTCAAATTTGGCATATTATATTTTCCCAACAATCAAAGAGATGTTTTAAACTTTTTTGAAGTACGACGTACATTTGGCGTGCATAATTAAAAAATCTGAACATTTATATTATTTGATTACAATTTCAATCTGTTGATTAAAAAATACAGGTATATTAAATAAATAAGTAATGTACTAATGTTAATGAAAATGAGAAATACAATTTAAATATAAATGATTTTGTGTAATAAATCATACATAGTAAATATAATATAATTAATAAACTTAATCTAATATACCTAGGTACTTAGTAGAGGGGTGTATACCTACTAGACATTTTCCAATAGATTAATAAAGAAAAACTTTTATGATCTATTAAATTATCATAAATAAAAACGTTATTATAATATATCATATACCTGTAGGTATTTGGGTGCATGGTACCTATAATGGACCATTAACTAAAAAGCATATCTGTCTATTTTAAACATTGCCGGCGCCACTGACTTACCTAATATGAAGTACCTAATTGCATTGATTTTAAAATAATTAAATTAAATTTTATTCTAAAATCAATGCTAATTGTCAACATATATATCAGTGGTTTTCGATCTTCACCACAATGTAGATAACCGTCTGTGGTCTTCACTCATTAACTTCATCATATTCTACTTATTGGACTCTCGGCCCATTTTATTGATAATTTATATTTCGCCTCAATTATATGTTATAAATAAGAAAAAAGTGCTGGTTGATAAATACTGTTTTGTTATAATATACATCAATACGCGTAAAAAACCGATTTTTAATTAATGTAGTTTACCTAAACAGTTATTGTTGCTATGTTAATTGTATTAACTCTAAATTGTGATCCAATTCTGAAGATCACACGACCCAAAATTGGGTCTAGACCCACTAGTTGTCGGTCGAAGACCACTGATATATGCGTATATTATATTACCTATTATTATAGTGAGCTAGTGAGCAAACAGTAAAGAGACCTGTAAATACCCACGCAGGGAATATTTTGTCAAAATATCACTAACGTTATAAGATGCTTAGGTACCAAAATGGACAAACAAACACTTGTGGGAACTATTGCAGCAAAACACTATACTATGTCCTATAGTCTATAAATTATAATAATATAATTTAATATATTGAACAGGAAAGTAAATATAAAATTAAAAATTTGATTAATACTTATACAATTTAGGGAAAATTACTATGTAGATAATTATTAAGTTATCCAATGTAAAATAATAATTATATAGTTTTAGAATTAAAGCAGAATCAAAAATTTGTATACTATTATAATTACCTATAGTTAGGTAGATAATGAAGTAATGAAGTCTAAATTGATTACAATACAGAATTAATAGTGTGCCGTTAGTTTTAATATTAGAGTAAATTTAAGTATTATCAAACTTTTAGGTAAGATCATATCTATTCTTAAGCGTTGGCAGATTTTCGATATTTTCATTTTCAAGCAAGATACGAGTATGTGAAATAATACAAATCAAAAATGCTCTTATCTCGCTTGAAAATTAAAATATTCAAAAATCCGCCGACGCTTGTAAGCATAGATAATGTTCTTACCCACAATCTTTATAACAGGTAAATTCACTCTAATATCAAAACTAACAGGCAACAGCACACAATTGAAACTAGTGAACGAAAATGTTCTATGCCGTACGCGTGTAAGACGGAAACAACACATGCATGGGTAGCGTCCTTTTAAATTGTTTTTATAACGCTGTTATGGACTAGATGTCTAGATCTTTTATTTTCTAAAATTAATTATTTAGTTAGTGTCTATAAATGTCCTAGGCATGATGAATGTATACTGTATAGGTATTGTATATGGGCAGGCTATAGCCTTTTTCTTCATTTATGGTATCGACGATGCTGTCGGAACTTCTTGCGAATTCCGAGGAGGCTTAACAGAATTCTTTCTAGCCTCAATTAGTCCTCCTCCTATTCTATGCCTATGATAAATTATAATATATGTAATACATTATTTTACCTGGTCTTGTTATGATAATTCTGCGTCCATTCTTATCCCGCTTGGGAACTACAAATATGTACCTATACCACGAGGTAAATTGCACAAGTACATCATAAAAATTAATTTTCTGTAAAGTGTAATTTCAGCAATTTAATACAATTATTCAATTACCCAAGTTCCAGAAGTTTTTCAAGTCGTGGACACTTGATATCAAGTTCATTGAAGAGTTGACGCCCAAACGTTTGTCGTAATAATAAATATCGTTCCAAAGCTTCCTGAGCTAATGGCAAGCTAAACTTTTTGGCTCGAAGAAATCTCAATAAAAAGCTGTCATCTATGAAGGCAAAAAAAAAATGTTATATTATTATCATATTATAATGGACACTCACAGTTTTCGGACAGTGTTTTAGTAAATAAGGAGTATACTTATTAACTTTTTTTGAAATTATTCTCACTTACAACCTACGAGGACTTAGTACCCGCATGTGCTATCTCCGCCCACTAACGTATTTACAGAGGGTGGTATGCATGATAATATATAAACCTCCGAATTTTTTTTTGTTAGTTTCATTTTTCTTAATGTTCTTTAAAAACTTGTTGTAACTGTTTAATATGATTGTGATTGATGGTGTATTGGTGTTGGTGATACTGTTGATAATGGTGATATATTTATC